CCTTAGTTTACAGACAGAGAAGCCCTGCCCTGTGGTTTTTTTTTTTTTTTTTCTGGACCTGGGCATTTGGTTGAGTTACCTTGAGAACAAGTGATTTTGAACAGCACCCAGGGACTGGGACTGAGCCACTGGGTTAGCAGACCTTGCATTGTTCCACTGCAGGCCAGGTGCAGCCATTGTGGGAAAATTGCCTTGCAGGATCAGCCCTCATGGTCCTAGTGCTGAGCCAGTTCTGGCACACTGGATAAGCTGGGCAGGAACTCGGGAGATCTAAGTAACACACATTTTCCTGGGAAAGCTACTGCGTGGCCAAGGGACACAGTTTGGAAAGGTTGAGGCATGTCTATTAAGTGGGCTGAGAACTTTAGGTTCCTAACCCTGCAGGGACTGAGGGCAAAGAAGTCAGGAAGATGAGACCAGGTCTCCTGAGCAAAAGCGAGGTGTCCAGTCTCCATCTTACACAGCTGTATCAGCATTGTGATTAGCATCTGATACCCCAGAAGATAACCTGTTGCCTGGGCAATATATGGCAAGATATATATTTTTTTTTCTTAAAAAAAATTTTTTTCAGGGTGCTGGCCCCATATGCTGGAGGTGGCGGGTTCAAACCCAGCCCTGGCCCAAAACTGCAAAAAATAAAATAAAATAACTTTTTTTCAACTTTCCCCCCCTAGATTATCTTCTGAACCACTCAGAAAATTAATGAAGCAAAAAATTGGTTCTTCAGGTGGTACCCATAGCTCAGTGAGTAGGGCACCCGCCACATACACTGAGGGTGGTGGGTTCGAACCCAGCCCAGGCCAGCTAAACAACAATGACAACTACAACAAAAAAATAGCTGGGCGTTGTGGCGAGCGCCTGTAGTCCCAGCTACTTGCTACTTGGGAGGCTGAGGCAAGAGAATCGCTTAAGCCCAAGAGTTTGAGATTGCTCTGAGCTGTGATGCCACAGCACTCTACTAGGGGTGACATGGTGAGATTCTGTCTCAAAAAAAGAAAAAAGTTGGTTCATCGAAAAGATAAATAAGATTAATAAACCAACTGGCTAGATTAACCAGAAATAGAAAAACAAAATCTTTAATAACCTCAATCAGAAACAAAAAGGAGGAAACAACTAAAATCACAGAGATGTAAGAGATTATTTCTAACTACCACCAAAAACTCTTTGCTCAGAAATTTGACAATATAGAGAAAATGGACCAATACCTAGAATCACACCATCTTCCTAGATTTAACCAGGAAGAAATAGATCTCTTGAACAGACCAATATCAAGCACTGAGATTGCAGAAACAATAAAAAGCTTCCAACAAAAAAAAGCCCAGGACCAAATGGCTTCATATCAGAATTCTATCACAACTTCAAAGATGAGCTTGTACCTAACCTAAAAACATTGAGAAGGAAGGAACTTTCCCCAGCATGTTCTATAAAGCAAATATCACTTTGATTCCAAAACCAGGAAAGGACCCAACTAAGGAGAAATACAGACCAATTTCACTAATAAATATTAATGCAAAAATATTCAATAAAATCCTAGCCAATAGACTGCAGCTATTCATTAAAAAAATTATACATCACAATTCAGTAGGCTTCATCCAAGAGATACAAAGCTGGTTTAATATATACAAATCCATAAATGTAATACCAATAGAAGTGGTATTTGTATTTAATATATACAAATCCATAAAAGTAATACCAAATAAATGTAATATCAATAGAAGCAAAAACAAAGATCATATGATCCTTTCAATACTTGCAGAAACAGCATTTGACAAAATTCAGCATCCTTTTCCAACAAGAACACTTAAGAAAATAGGTATAGGTGGCACATTTCTTGAGCTGACTGAAGCTATCTATGACAAACCCACAGCTAACATCATACTGAATGGTGTAAAACTGAAAGTTTTTTCCACTTAGAGCTGGAATCAGACAAGGATGTCCGCTATTGCCACTATTATTCAACATTATGCTGGAAGTTCTAGCCAATGCAATCAGGCAAGGGAAGGATATTAAGGGCATCCAAATGGGGACAGAGAAGGTCAAACTTTTGCTCTTTGCTGATGATATGATCTTATACTTAGAAAACCCCAGAGACTCAACCACAAAACTCCTGGAAATTATCAGGAAATACAGTAATGTCTCAGGGTATAAAATCAATGTCTGCAAATCAGTAGCCTATTTATACACCATTAACAGCCAAGTTGAGAAGTAAAATCAAGGACACAATTTCCTTCACAATAGCTTCAAAAAAATGAAATACCTAACAAAAGAGGTGAAGGATCTTTACAAAGAGAATTATAAAACGCTAAGAAAACAAACTGCAGAAGACATTAACAAATGGAAGAACATACCATGCTCTTGCCTGGGAAGATTCAATATTGTAAAAATGTCTATTCCACCCAAAGCAATCTACAAATTCAATGCAATTCCCATTAAAATACCAACATTATATTTTGAAGAACTGGAAAAAATAGTATGTCATTTTGTATGGAACCAGAAAGATACCCATATAACCAAGCTATTCTTAGTAATAAAAAGAAACCCAGAAGCATCACCCTACCAGACGTCAGGCTATATTACAAGTCCACAGTAATCAAAACAGCCTGGTACTGACACAAAAATAGAGACATAGACATATGGAACCAAATAGAAAACCAAGAGATGAAACCAGTCTCATCTTGCTATCTGATCTTTGATAAACCAAAAAAAAGCATACAGTGAGGAAAAGAATCCCTATTCAACAAATGGTCCTGGGAGAACTGGATAACCACATGTAAAAGACAAACTGGACCCGCGCCTTTCACCACTTACAAAAATTGACTCAGGACTTGGCGCCTGTATCTCAGGAGCTAGGGCACCAGCCATATGCACCAAAGCTGGTAGGTTCAAATCCAGCCCAGGCCTGCCAAACAACAATGATAACTACAACCAAAAAATAGCCAGACATTGTGGTAGGCACCCCAAATCCCAGCTACCGTGGGAGGCTGAGGCAAAAGAATCACTTGAGCCCAAGAGTTTGAGGTTGCTGTGAGCTGTAACGCCATGGCACTTTACCCAGGGTGACATAGTGAGACTCTGGACCACACTTACAGTGCATCTTACAAGGGTACATGTGAAATTTACTAAATGTAGAATATAAATGTCTTAACACAATAACTAAGAAAATGCTGTGAAGGCTATGTTAACCAGTTTGATGAAAATATTTCAAATTGCATATAAACCCAGCACATTATATCCCATGATTGCATTAATGTACACAGCTATGATTTAATAAAAAAAACTGACTTAGGATAGATAAAAGATTTAAATCTCAGACACGAAATGATAAAAAAAATCTTAGAATAAAGTATGGGAAAAACTCTTAATGATTTTAAGACTGGGGAAAGATTTTATGACAAACTTCATTTTTTACTTTCATCAAAAATTAACAAATGGGACTTAAGCTGAAAAAAAGCCTCTGCACAGCTAACGACACAATAAGTAAAGCAAAAAGACAACCTTTGGAATGGGAAAAGATATTTGCAGGGTATCAATCTGACAAAGGGATGATAACTAGAATCTACAGAGAACTCAAATAAATCAACAAAAAATGAGCAAACAATCCCATCTACCACTGGGCAAGAGATATGAATAGAACCTTCTCTAATGAAGACAGACAAATAGCTAACAAACATTTAAAAAAATGCTCATCATCCCTGATCATCAGAGAAATACAAATCAAAACCACCCTAAAATATCACCTAGCTCCAGTGAGAAGAGCCCACATCACAAAGTCTCAAACCTGCAGATGCCGGTGTGGATGTGGAGAGAAGGGGACACTTTTACACTGCTAGTGGGACTGCAAACTAATACAACCTTTTTGAGAATCCTCAAAGAACTCAAATTAGACCTCCCATTTGATCCTGCAATCCCATTACTAGGCATCTACCCAGAAGGAAAAAAAAATCATTTTATCATAAGGACATTTGCACTAGACTGTTTATTGCAGCTCAATTTAAAATTACCAAAATGTGAAAACAAGCTATATGTCCACCAATCCGGGAATGGATTAGCAAGCTGTGGTATATGTATACCATGGAATACTATTCAGACATTAGAAAGATGGAGACTTTCTATCTTTTGTATTAACCTCGCTAGAGTTAGAACATATTCTTCTTAGGAAAGTATCACAAGAATGGAGAAGCAAGAATCCAATGTACTCAATTCTAATATGAAGACAGTAGATGATCTAATATATACCCACATAAGAGAAAAAACTCAAATCAATTCAAGGTGGGGGCAGAGAAATGAGGGAGCAGGGAGAGGGGTTATGGTGTATAGCACACCTCTTGGGGGCAGGACACAATTATAAGAGGGACTTTATCTAATAAATACAATCAATATAACCTAAATCAATGAACCCTAAACAATAAAAAAGGAAAAAGAAGAACCAAACCGTAGTGAAAACCTAAGAAGCAAGAGATTTTGAAATGTCTGTCATATAACCATTTTATAACTTTTAGGCATATGTTTACTCATACCACAATTTTTCTGTCAATAAGAAATGACCCCCCAAAAATGTCCAGTGACAATCTCAAATTAAATATCCTGTCACAAAAACAACAAAAAAAGAAAACAAACAAACAAAAATTATGCTAAGTGATGTAAGCCAGACACAAAAGGACAAATAGGATATGATTTCACCTACATAAAGTACCTAGAATAGGCAAATTCATAGATATAAAGAGTATTAATAGAATAGAAGCTTATCAGTGGCAAGGGGAGTGGGGGCATATGGGGTTATTATTTAATAGGCATAGTTTCCATTTGAGATGATGAAAAACTTCTGGAAGTAGTGGTGATGGTTGCAAAACATCATAAATATACTTAACATCACTAAACTGTACACTTAAAAACAGTTAAAATGGTAAATGTTATGTTATGTATATTTTACCACAATTTCTGAAAATCCCATACCCTCCACAAAAATAACCAATTTCAAACTCTATGAAGTTAGTGCTTACCAAGGTATCATCATTCTGGTCTCCAAACATCTCTTTAAAAATCTTGCCAGGATCAGGAATTGGAGGGAATATAATGATCTTGAGCCTTTAAGAAAACAGACATGTGAAATTTACTAGGTGTAGAATATAAATGTCTTTTTTTTTTATTAAATCATAGCAGTGTACATTAATACTGTCATGGGGTACAGTGTACTGTTTCTATACACAATTTGAAATACTTTCATCCAACTGATTAACATAGCCTTCATGTCTTTTTCTTAGTTATTGTGTTAAGACATTTATATTCTACATTTAGAGAGATTCACATGTACCCTTATAGGATGAACCATAGGCGTGATTCCACCAATCACCCTCCCTCCCTCTACCCACCCTCTTCTCCCCTCCCTTTCCCCTCTCCCCACATTCCTGGGCTAAAATTGGGTTATAGCTTTCCTATGAAAGGTATAAATTAGTTTCATAGTAGGGCTGAGTACATTGGATACTTTTTCTTCCATTCTTGGGATACTTTGCTAAGAATAATATTTTCCAGCTCCATCCATGTAAACATGAAGGAAGTAAAGTCTCCATCTTTCTTAATGGCTGCATAGTATTCCATGGTGTACATATACCACATTGCAGCCCAATTCATAATTGCTAGGTCATGGAAGAAGCCCAAGTGCCCATTGACTCACGAATGGATCAATAAATTGAGAATATAAATGTGTTAACACAAAAACTAAGAAAATGCCGTGAAGGCTATGTTAACCAGTTGGATGAAAACATTTCAAATTGTATGTAAAACCAGCACATTGTACCCCATGTTTGCATTAATGTACACAGCTATGATTTAATAAAATAAATAAATAAATAAAATTTTTTAAAAAAGAAAAGAAAACAGACATTTTGTGAGGCAAGAGAATCACTTGAGCCCAGGAGTTTGAGGTTGCTGTGAGCTATGACACCACAGCACTTTACCCAGGGTGACAAAGTGAGACTCTGTCTCAGAAAAAAAAAAGAAGAAAGAAAGAAAACAGACATTTTGATTCTAATCTTCCAATCCATAGGAGCATCTCACTTAAACACAGCCATATTAAAATAAGGTGCAGACAAAAGACATGGTGCACAAGACATCTTCAGTAACAAGGCAGTTGTGAAGAAATTTCTAAAACAGCCTGGGGAAATCAATGTTCTAAATGTATCAAGCTTGGATGGAGCAAAGAGGCCCTCAGGATAAGCAAATTACTTATACCCAATTATTTAAATCATACCATTAGACTTTCAATAGCCCAGATGATGTATAATCTGAAAAAAATTCTGAGAACAAGGTACATTCCTCTTTCCCTTTGCCTTTCTTACTTCTCTACTATTTTTGAATCTTATAGAATCCTTTGGTGGACGTGCCTCATCTCCCAGGGTGTGGCCCAGGGTTTGGTCTTTTGTCCCCTTCTCTTTCACATGCTTTATGTGAGCCAGGGGCCAGCTACAAAGATCTTTAATAAGAATAAATCAGATCACATCCTCCCTGGCTCAAAACTCTCCAGTGAACCAGGCGCAGTGGCTCATGCCTGTAATCCAGCACTTGGGAGGCCCAGGCAGGTGGATTGCCTGAGCTCACAGGTTCTAGACCTGCCTGAGCCAGAGCAAGACATCATCTTTAAAAATATCCAGGTATTGTGATGGGCATATATTGTCCCAGCTACTTGGGAGGCTGAGGTGAGAGAATTGATTAAGCCCAGGAGTTTGAGTTTGCTGTGAGCTATGACACCATAGCATTCTACCAAGGATGACAAAGTGAGACTGTGTCTCAAAAACAAACAAACAAAAAACTCTTCAATATTCCCTATTGTGTTTAGAATAAAATCTCAGTTCCTTGCCATGGCCTGCATGTATTTGGCCAACCTCTCCAGCCTCACCTCCTGCCACACTCCACCTCACATACTCTAGTCCAGCCAGATACATCCAGTTCATTCCAGCCTCAGGGCTTTTGCACTTGCTGGTCCCTAGGCCTGGAACGCTCTCTTCTTGAATATCTGAATGTCTCATTCCTTTACTTTGAGCTTCAGTGTAGACGGCGACTTTCTATTCACTTTAGTAAACCCAGTACTTAGAACAGTGCCCAGCACATAAATAGACACTCAAAATATGTATACTAACTAGTTTGATGTAAGCATTCCAAATTGTATTTAAAATCAGCACATTGTACCCTATAAATGCATTAATGTATACATGATCTATATGTTTATGACTCAGTAAAAAAATTAAAAAAGAGATATTCAGAGGAAAAAATATGCATGTTGAATGAATGTTGAAATAATGATAAAACATTGGTTCTGGATCCAGTTTAATAACATTATTCCAACCTTAGGTATTTACTGCAAGAGCAAATAATAGTCCCTATAGGGAAATAGAGAAAATAAAACATTCTCAATGAATGAGTACCATATTTGGTGAAGTTCTCTTCCCTATAGCATTAAGTAGCAGTCTGCTTTGCTTTGATACCAGACAAGTTCATTTCCTTAGTAATGGTCTCCATTTCTAAACTTCACTCCAAGAGTTACTGTTAATAAATTAGACATTTGAAAGAGTATATTGAACATAGGGCCTTTTTGACAATCCTAAACCCATTCGAAGGGAGCAATGCTTGAGCACAGCCCTAGGAAACTAATCCAAAATTTTCTTCACCAGAAAATGGGCAAAACACTTCTTTGTCATGTCATGCTACCAAAATCCATTTATGGCCAAAATGCTTCTAATACACTGGGCAAACATAAGACACCAGCACAAAGAGTAAGAAACACAGCAACCAGACTAGCAGAAACCATAAAACCTGCCAGGGCAGCAGCCTTACCTTTTCAGGTAAAGCAGAAGGACTATGATTGCACCTGCGATGATGACTGGAATGATGAGTAACATGGTTATGTACAATGTAGGATTGGGCTTCTTACCTGAATAATGAAAAGTAAATAGAAAAAAATGAGAAGTAAAATCCTTTTAGTAATAAACCAAGCAACAATTCCATCAGCTACTGAGATCACAAATATTTTTCCTCTCTACCCCAATCCATTTTCCAAAACTCTTCATTTATCTTGTCTTAATAGCTAAAACAAAAGTCCCATTCTGGTGCCTGAAATTCCCTGAGTGAGCAAACATCTTAAAGATTAAAATCAGGCTATCTTTAACTAATTTTAGACACTATTAACAATGACATTGTAATTAGTAAATATGTCATCTCATTAACAGTGACTACCTTTCCCTAATCGTTACTTACCACTATAAAATGCCAAAATAATCATAACGACAACTACCACTACTACTATTCTTTAACCTACTATAGGTCTGAGACCATATGATGTGATTTTACATACTTATATCAGTGCTATAGACAATCTCCCATTTATACAGATGAGAAGGATAAAGATCAGAGAGGTTTAATAGGTCCTCCAGAAGTATAGCATTGTCCAATTCCAAAGCCTGCCTGTCTTTTTACACCTAACTCATAGAATGTCATTTATCTATTTATACATTCATTTTTCCCACTAGGGCAAGAACATCTAGAAAACATCAGGGCTTAGCACCATTGTTTTAGACAGCCACTAAGATTGATTCTTGCCTCCTCATATTCACACCTTTGTGCAATCCCCTCCCTTGAGCATGGGCTAGACTTATGGACTCTTCTAGATAATAGAACAGCAGTAATAATGGGATATCCTTTCCAAGGTTAGGCTATAAAGACCATGGTTGGTTGTGCCATATTGAGTGTTTTCTCATACACTTTTTCTTGCTTGGATCACTCACTCAGGGAAGCCAGCTTCCATGTTAGGAGGTAGCCCTGTGGGGAGGTCCAAGTGGCAAAAACTAAGGGAATCTTCCCTCCTAGTTTTCTAGAGCTGTCGCAATAAATTACTACAAATTGGGTAGCTTAAAACAAGAGAAGTTTATCCTCTCACGTTTCTGGAGGCTAGAAGTGCAAAATCAAGATGCTGGCAGGGCCATGCTCCCACTGAAGGCTCTAAAGAAGAATCCCTCTTTGCCTCTCCCTAGCTTCTGCTAGCTTCTGGAATCCTTGGTGTTTATTGGTTGTAGCTGCATCACCCCAGTCTCTGCCTCTGTCTTCATATGGCCTTCTTCCCTGTGTGTTTGTGTGTCTGTGTGTATACTCTCCTCTTCTTATAAGAATATGAGTCATCGGATTGAGGGTCCACTCTAATCCAGTATGACCTCATTTTAACTTGATTATATCTGCAAAAACCCTATTTCCAAAGAAGATAACATTTATAGGTACTAGGGGATAGAACTTGTAAACTTATCTTTTTGGGAGATAATGTGGCTTTCCAACAACTACATGAGTGATCTTAAAGTGGATTTGTTAGCCCCAATCAAGTCTTCAGATGAGAATGCAGTCCTAGTGGCAGCTTAACAGCAAGCTTATGAGATCTCTAGCTAAGCTGTGACTAGATTCCTAATCTATAGACACGATTAGATGATAAACATGTGTTGGGTTAAGTTTTTTAACTTTAGAATAATTTGTTACACAGCAATAAATAAACCAATACAACCATGCCTTGTACACAACTTGTTTAGCCTCTCCATTAGTAGGAAATTAACTATCTCAACAACCTGTCTCTCTGATTCTTAGATAGCTATTTTAAAAGTTTTCAAGTTGGTTCTATTAATATGTAATTCCCCCTGGCCACAAAAAGGGAAGCCTATCCCGCCTTCTACTTGATAATACCTCAAATATTAGAATTCACCAATTGGGACTCCTTAAGGTTCCTTCATCATTTGTTTCTCATGAAGTTTGAAGAGTCTTCCTCCTAATTACCCTTTCAAGGATAGATTCCAGTCTACCAATGCATCTCCTTCAATGTGGTGCTCAGAATGGAATTACTGCACTCTTCTGATGCTGCCAGACTACTGTGCCCCACCCAGCGGCATTCCCTTGCTCTAGGTATGGCACCATCACTGCTATTTAAGACTGTGTATGCCGGCTCGGCGCCTATAGCTCAACGGGCTAAGGCGCCAGCCACATACACCTAAGGTGGCGGGTTCGAATCCCCAGCCTGGATCCGCCAAACAACAATGACGGCTGCAACCAAAAAATAGCCGGGCGTTGTGGCGGGCGCCTGTGGTCCCAGCTACTTGGGAGGCGGAGGCAGGAGACTCGCTTGAGCCCAGGAGTTGGAGGTTGCTGTGAGCTGTAATGCCACGGTACTCTACCCAGGGGGACAGCTTGAGGCTCTGTCTCAAAAAAAAAAAAAGACTGTGTATGCCTTTTAGGGATATTTAAGGTCCCAATGTATAGTTATATTGAGTTTAAAGTCAAATAAAGCCCTGTACCTCAACCCACAACATACACATCCATAAAGCATAGGTCTTTATAATCTTGTACTTGAGCCTGTCTTGCTCAGTCTTTCAATTAATAAATCATGTTTTTCAAACCTAGATACAGGTTTATATCTATTAAATGCCAACAAAGTCATCGATCCACTCTTGAGTGTCAGCACACAGGACAGTCTTCTAACATTGTACAATCTGCACTTTGATTATGCCTGCCTTCTACATTTTTGTTTGAGTTATTAATATAAAGGTGGAGATGGGATAGAGGAGAGGATAACATCATTTGGATTGTGGTTTTCCTGAGCTGTATACTATAAATTAACCCTGGGTTATTTGACAGTGATTAAATAGAAAATAAATTTTAATTGTAAATATTCTTTGGCTGACATCAAGAAAGCATGACAATTCCTTTTCCCAGTCTATTTTCTGCTTCAGCTAAGTTCCCAAGCATCAATGTTTTAAATTTTAATGAAATCCTATTCGCTTACCTATACTCATCTCTTGACTCCAATTACTCCAGAGGTCGCTATCCTCATAGCATAATTTATTTGTTTTGACTCTTACTCTGACTGTGTTCAAAGCATCAGGCAGAACACCAGGGACCATGAAGCAAAATGTCTCCTTAGATATAAAATAAAAACACAAGGAATATTATCAATTTATTCTATTTCTTTGCTATTGAATCATAATATAATTATCTGCCAAATTCTGTATATGATTAAGACTTGGATTGCAATACAAATTATCTGACTTTGACTCTTGAAAAACAGTTGGCAATAAACCACAGAACAAAGTAGTTTGTTTTTATCAGAGCAGCTCAAATTTACACCATGCTTGCCCTGCCCCACCCCCAATTACTCTGAGTCTAAGCCCAAATAGCTAATGTTGAATTTACTGACCTCCTCATTTCTCTCAAATTCTGAATTCTGACATTTAGCCTCTTCAACCTGGAAAATAGAAAATAAAATTAACAAGTCCTCAATTTTAAAAACACATTTTATATCATTTAACCATTTCTAATAAGCTTTCCTTTTATACCATTAAAAGACAACCAGGTAGAATAAAAAAGGTTGGCCTTTTTAATAAGTGGTGCTGGGTCAATTACATATCCATAGGGAAAAAAAGAACCTTAACTTGATTCCTCACAATATTCATAAAATCAATTCCACATATATTGCAGATCTAAATGTGAAAGATAAAGTAAACAAATAAATAAACACAGCAAGCTTTCAGAGGAAAATGTAGAACATCTTTATGAGTTGGAAGAAGAAAAATATTTCTTAGGATTAAAAAAAAAAACCACATTAACTGGGCCGGTGCCTGTGGCTCAGTGAGTAGGGTGCCGGTCCCATATACCGAGGGTGGCGTGTTCAAACCCAGCTCCGGCTAAACTGCAACAAAAAAATAGCCAGACATTGTGGCGGGTACCTGTAATCCCAGCTACTCAGGAGGCTGACGCAAGAGAATCGCCTAAGCCCAGGACCTGGAGGTTGCTGAGAGCTGTGATGCCACAGCACTCTACCAAGAGTGATAAAGTGAGACGTTGTCTCTTAAAAAAAAAAAAAAAAAACATTAACCATAAAGGAAAAATTCATCTATGTTAAATTTAAAAAAAAACCCTTTGTTCATAAAATTATACCCTATTAGGGAATAAACAGGCAATATATAGAATGTTAGAATATATTTGCAATTATTTTTTCACACAAGGTCTTGCTTTGTTGCCTGGGCAACAGGGTACAGTGGCATCATCATAGCTCATAGCAACCTAAAACTCCTCCCAAGAAGCTGGGACCACAGGTATGTACCAGCACACCTGATTAATTTTGTTTTTAATCAGGAACCAGGCAAGGATGCCCATTGTCTCCGTTGCTCTTTAACATCG